GGACTAACCATTGCTGCAATAAGGAACAGAATGCCGCCAAGGAGAGCAATGAGGGGTGGGTCGTGGTCTGAGGTAGTGGACGTGTCTGAGAGTGAAGATTTGTCCGATGAGATGGTAGGAATCGTGATGGAGGACTGAAGCAGCTCCTGGGTAACGGGACAGTCTGGTTGTGTGGACCAACTTTGGTTGCCACGCAGGAATAGAATCCCGCTTCGCCCTCCAAGTCCTTACGGACCGAACGTATACAACAATGAGCACGAGGTGATTATAGAGACTTAACCGGAAGAGGATCCGGGGAAGGATCCTGTGGAAAACCTGGAGGAAGAGCAATTCATGTTCAGTCCCGAGCAGTCCTTTGCCTATCTTTGGGCCAAGATTGCTGGTTTACATAGATATTTCATCGGACAGTGCCATGTCCCTTGAGCACACTGATAGTCCAGCTCCGATGGAATCCCCAATGCAAATGCCCTCGCTACCAAGTCAGAATCAAGAACAGCCGCAGTAATGGGCTGTAGAGGCCATAGTAAGCTGGAATTTGTACTGGGATCCATATCTTGAACTGGAACATACCGCCCTGCTATGATCCGAGATTGGCCGCAGCCGCAGACTTCACAACATGCCACCACTACTCACCCGACTGTCTCTTACGGGCAAGGATCGAGCATTGCTGGCCCAACTCTAGGCAGAGACACTCTTGGAATTAGGGCATAGATAGCGAGTCAAAACGTGAATAAGGACTATGAGATGAACTCATCAAGGCAACGAGACGCATGGCAAAGGACTGAGCGAGTTGGGACTAAGCGAGTTGGGTTGAGCGACATGCAAGGCCTTGAGATTTGTGGAATTCTGTACTTGGATTCATATTGTTCATAGAGTCGTTGTGAGAGTCTAAGCTATCGCGAAGGTTTGCTTGTGCTGCTTGCCTTGATTGATTGTCTTATTTTATTGTGTGATTGATTGATGCTTTTTATTTTGGGTTTGGGCGGGAATCCTATACTTGATTGTTAGTAAAGCTCTAACTCACTAGGTAATTCTAGATTACTCATCCCACTCTATTTGTTGCAAGAACTTTAGTCGGGATCCATTAGAGGGGCACGTTGGACGATATGATCATCAGACCTAGGTGATTTCGGTGTCCTTGCAAAACTTACGATTTTATTATGTATTGCTTTTGAAACGCGGATCCATACTCTATATGTTTGTACAGATAGATTTTTGCCTAATTATATGCTAAGTAATAAAACAAGTGTTTTTAAAATTTTATCAAGTGATAATGATGCATGATCTAGTCCGGACCGAACCAACCGTCTAGCATGATCAGGGTTGGCAAGCCTTGGAAAGTGTTGGATGGGAAGGACACTCCGGGATAGTCGAGCCAAAGTGTTGGATTTGTTCTAAAGAAATGAAGATTGGTCGACCCGTTGTGTCTGGGTTGTGGCGTTCCAGGTTGGCCGGCCTCATCGGTGATCAGAGGCGTTACAACCGTTATTCAAG